GTCCAATCACACCCAATATTGCCGCATAATCAGCATCAGTCGCAGTTTCTGGGGACGCCAGGACAAGCTTGGAATTGAATATCTGTTGAAAACAAAGTCAAGCAATTAGGCTTAGTTAAGAAAAAGTCATAAGTAGAACAATGCAATAACATCTCAAATATCATACATTCAAGCTCTTGTTTTCCATCGCTCCCCTGGCAATGAGATAAAAACCAGGTTATGATCATAAAAATAAAAAATTTAGGGGGTGGCAGAAAAATGATAATGTGAAGAAAACAGAAAACTAACATGTTAAAATCAGGAACAGCAACAATATTAAAAAGATCCAGGTCATACTCCAGACCGAAAACCTGTTAGAAAAATTTAACAAAGAAAATTGCCATAAGACCATCAGACAAGAGAAGATATCTAACTTGATGTTTATCAAAAAACTGAAAAGCTCACATCTTCATCCCACTTCATAGCTGCCTTCAGCGAATACATTGCATGTGCTGTCTTGGGCAGATCTTGTGCAGGGGTCCAGATTCTCAGGGAGACGTTACGGCCTGAACGGGTTGTGAATGTATCATCTCTGCTCTCCAACTGACCGGCAACCAACGCAAAAAGATAACAGGGCTTCTTGAAAGGATCCTCCCAAACAGTAAAATGTTTTCCTCCCTGCAAAAAAAAAAGTGAGAAGAATAATTTGGAGTGGCATAAGGGTTACAATAAAACAACTTTCAGCAAAAAGTACAGCACGATCCAAATGTACCTCTAGATCTCCTTGCTCTATAAGGTTTCCGTTTGACAACAATACAGGGTACAAGGATTTGTCTGCCTCTATGCGACAGGTGTATTTAGCCATAATGTCAGGGCGATCCTAATGGTAGAAACGATCTCCATTAGCAAGCATTCAAGGAAAGACGATAACAGCCTAGAGGACAAAAAATGGCATACCTGATAGAATGTAATTTTACGGAAACCTTCAGCCTCACATTGGGTACAGAAATTCCCTGATGACTTGTAAAGCCCCTGAAGTAAATACGATAATGTCAATATTCTAAGCATAGAAACCATTCATAGTGTTACTGAAATTTGAAATGCAAGAAAAGATTGCAAATAAGACAAAATCCTGCCCTCCTATGTCACCTCTAAGGATGTGTTCTTCTGAGGATATATTTCTGTCACAATCTCTAAGGTGAATTTGCTACTTGGAGGAGATTTAAGAGTCAGGTGGCGCGAGTCCAAGTGGAAATCTTCTTCCTGAAGCATATTAAGTGTATCATTTATGAGCAAAAGTAACATCAGCTGAAATATGTGTAATAAAAATCTATGTACATCTTCGGACATTGTACGAGCACGACTTTGATAAATACCTTCAATGGATTGCCATTGATCTTTATCGATTGCAACTTTAAATCTTGCCCATTTAGCACAAGTGGGAAAGACTGACCTGTTCAAGATAAATTAGCAACAAAATGTGAGTTCTGGAATAAATACAACTATTGGAAAACTTGAGAAGCTTCAATCAGCCAAAAGCATCTATCATTTAGTTCAAGTATATCAACCCAACAAAACGTGGAAAAAATGTATTATGGATAAAAAATAAACAAATCCAAAGGGGTAACAAGATTTACCTTCAACTCTGGGGCTGACAGCAATTTTGGAAGCAACGAACGTACTTTCCTCACCCAGTGAGAATTTCAGATCCACCTAATAGTTATTTGATTTAGTCTCATAAAACAAGGAGAAAAATCCAGACCTTTACCAAGATTAAGGTCAAGATCAAGGGATATACCGTGTCAAAATAGTAGTCAGGTTGTTTGTAATCCTTCAAAAAGATTTCCTTTGGAGCTGCCATCTTGGTTTCTTCTACTTCTTTTGGCAGAGGTTCAGTTGCGACTGAACAGATTAATCTCCGGTCAGTTCTTCTCGGTTGCTGGGAAACATCCACAACATACAAAAGAAACGTCAGCATAGAAAAGCATTGTTGCCAAAATAGGCTAGTAAGTTTAAAATCAGGACATAATAGCTTACAACCAATGGAAAGCGTGGGATTTGACACCTCCTCCAATGCGTAACCTAGTTGCAAAAAGCACAAAGACTGAATATAGGAAAAGAGAAAAAAATGCACTAAACAAAGCAAGACAATGCATTAAAAACCAAAAGCAAATGAGGAATGCAATTTGCACGAGCCAGTCAAGAAAATATTCACAAACCTCCGAACTGATGTATTGTTTATATCTACAGATATTCCTCGAGCGCACAACTGAAGCAACACGGCAACTTGCCTGAAACTACAGAGAAAGAATGGAAAATAATTCTTCAGGCGACAACAAGTAATTAAATGCTAAGTATCTTACATTAACTAAATACACGTCAAAAGCAGCATTAGCACATCAAAGAAGCAAGACAGAGAATCAAACACCTAAAGAAAGTCCAAAGATTAAAATAATTATTACAAGTGTGGGCAAAATACTAGAACCAAATATAAGTACTTCATATCAAGCCAGAAACCTAAAAGGATAAGCTTTTCCTAGTGCCAAAGAATCAGTACATCTCAACGGACGTAGTTGGAAAACAGCAAAATTGATAAAGCTGGAAGTATTACTTGTTCAGTTAGTACAAAACATGACAAAGAAAAAGAACAAAATATACACACCACCCCTACTTGACTCTCAAATAGAACCTCTAATACCACTTTCAAGTTTTGTATTATTTGCTTATACAATGAAGAAAAGGGAGTTGGATAATCACAGGAGCATTGGAGATCAAACCCAAGAGACATGTCTTCGATAAACTTGAAGGCTTGCACGGTAGAACCAACCGAGCCATCGGCAAACCACACAACTCCTAAGTAGTAATCTACTATTGATAATAATAATAATAGTTAGTTCAATAATCAAAATTCACAAAATTTCCCCATAAAGGTTAAATCTTTACAGGCAAACCCAGCTAGTTCAGTAATCAATATTACCAAAAGAAAAAAATCCCTATAAAGGTCCAATCTTTATAGAATATAAAGCAACCCCAGTTAAAAATTACTTATAAATTCAATCTTTACAAAATATAAGGCAACCCCAGGTAAAAATTACTTATAAAGATTCAATCTTCACAAATAACAAGGCAAACCCAGGTGGTTTAAATTTGGACAGCAAACAAAAAACCCTTCAAATCAAGAAAAGACTACTAATACCCTAGTGAAATATGAGAAGAAATGGCTCTTAAAAGAGGTGGGAGATATATGGATAATCTAAGAATATGGACAAGAAAAAACAATAAAAAGGACATTTAAAATTAGAGATATTACCAGAAATTAATCAAAAAAGATTATTCAAAATTAAGCATTAATAGTTTACCTTTGTTGATGATCCAAAAAGGGTCGATCAGCAGAGCAAGAACACCAAAGAATTACTGTGTTAAAAGATATATTGGTAAAGATATTTGTGATCTGTGAAGTGACATATGCAAATTCACATAGGAGTACTGTCGTTTTATAGTGGAGTACTAGGTATTTTCAGTAAAATTCAGGTTTTTTTGTTTTTCAAGAAAAAGGTCCCATTGGTCAGCTAATTATAATAGGATTGGTTCTTTTTTGCGGTTGGTTTTTTGGTTTTAAAAAAAAGCCTTTTTTGGCAGGAAACTAGTGAGCAAAACTAATTAGGTTTTGAAGAAGAAAAAAACTGCAAGTTACACACTCGGCCAAAAATAGTTATATTTACCTGAATATATTTATTATACGCCAGTTTCTACGAATGTGTGTTGCATGTTAATACCATGTCAATTGAAAACATACGTAAAAAGAAAGAATTATTGTAAAACGTAGTTTGTATTTACATTAATGATTGACAAATGTGTTGAATCAAAAATGTTTTGTAAAGTATTATAAGTTGAGAAAGAATAATTAGGTGATAAGCTAAATTTGAAGACATTTACAAATTAACCAACAACCTAATCATAAGAAATTTTGGTCATTAAAATCATTGCAAATTTTGTTTTTAGGCACTTCTCCGAAGAGTTACTATGTGAAAATTTAGAGAAAAAGCTCAAAACAATACGGTACCTTTGGAATTGGACTCAAAGTAATCCTATTTCTTTCGGGCAGAGCATTAATAGTCCACATATTTTGAGAAAATGGTGCATTTTAAGTCTCAAATCTAACCATTGTTAGTCTTCCAACAAAAACATCAGAATATGCACGTGATATTTCCTTCCAAACAAACAAACTCCTCTCTCTATCTTAAAACAAAATAGACGACATCTTCTTAGTATCATTGTAGGGGCATTTACAATATATAGTTTTTTAAATTTTGGGAACAAACAGGTACTACTATTATGCATAATAGCTTGACAACATTTCAATCAACTCACAGTCCATTTTAATTAACTCAAAAGAAGTCACCTTATATGTGATAATATTCCGAACACTGAAATATTTTTGGCAATCACAACAAAGAAAACTTTATCTATAGCAGAAATTTCAAACAGCGCAGCACAGTAGCATCCCCCCCCCC